CCTAGCATCCATGTTGAGTAGCTCACAATGGCTTGCAACTCCAGCTCCAGGGTGATCAATGCTACCTTATGGCTTCTACAGGTACCTGCACACACTGATGTATGTATGTGTATACACACACACACACACACACTTAAAAAAAAATTTTTTTTTAAACTAAGAACACCAGCACAAAAACTTGGCTTTTCTGACTCCTTGGTCTGGTGTGTTTTCCACACTAACATTGTCCCCTTCTAAGTCCAGAAAACTTTACTGGAGATTGAAAAAAATGTCAAGTTAATGGAACATAAATATACATAACTAATCCCAGCTCTCAAGAACTGGAGGCCAGCCTGGACTATGCAGTAAGACTTTATAAAAAAACAAAATAAATACCCTCAAGCTGAAGCTTTATACTAAAAAAAAAAAAAATTAAAAAAAAAAAAAACACTGTTATACGTCACAACCGAATATAGTTGTTAACAAAGACTCTGGAAACATTAACTGTAACAGAAATGTCACTATACAGTCAATAGTATAGATTCAAAATGAGGGGGAAAAACTTCCAACTATTTTGTCCCCATTTAACTCTAAAACAAACAAACAAAAACAATGCAAATTTTAAGAGAGAGAGAGAAAAAAAAAAAACAAAAACAAAAACAAACCCCAAGCACAGGAAGAAGTGACACTCAGTTTTCACTCCCCTCTCTGGCATTCAGTTTTCCTGTAAAGCCAAGACCTACCAGCCACCACACCCTGCTTCTCTGAACCCAAAGATCCATGTCAGCTGGCCCAATCTTTTGTTGTGGGGAGTACAAGGGGAAATGATGCTGGTATATATGTATCAGTTGGCCAAGTCAACCTAGGGTGTCATTCCTCAGCATCTGTCCTGTTTTTAAGAGACAGGTTTCTAACTGGGACCCAGGGCTCAAGGGCTCACCCAATTCAGCTAGACTGGCTGACTAGAAAGCCCCAAGAGGTACTGGTCTTGTCTCCCCAGTGCTGAGATTAAAAGGCATGCATTGTAACACACAGCTTTTGTGTGGTGCTAAGGATCCAACTCAAGTCCTCATGCTTGACTGGCAAGCACTTTACCAATGAAGCCATCATCCCAGCTGAGCAGCTTCAATCTTTTGCAGTCACCTCATACCCTGAAATACCTACAGCTTCCTTTAAAAAAAAAAAAAAAAAAAAAAAAAGCACCTATGTATTACAGCAAGAAAGGAAGGGCTGAGCTGTTCATTATATGTTCCTCACAAGGAATGACAAAAAACAAATAGAAAGTTCATTATTTTCTGTCCACAATACATTTAAAAATCTTTTTCTATTATTCATTCATTCCTCAACTTCTTCATGTATCTACCGCATCCCAAATTTACTATGAACTTCATGAGAGCATTCCTTATGGTATCCTTGTTGCTAATGCTATTTTAGACATTGGAGAGCATACAAAAATAAGTAAGCCTGACCATAAGGCAGCTAACAAAACAAACACAAATTGCTAAACATACAGCAATCCAAGCACTACATAAATACTTGCATAAGGGCCTATGGTAGTAAATATAATTAGGATCATTGGAAGAAGCACCATGAAGAATTGAGTTGTAAATGATGAATGGGATTCAGTTAGGCATAAGAAAACAATCTGAGAAAAACAAAAACAAACAAAAAACCCAAAGGCATAGCAAAGCCCTATATGACAGAAAAGTTTCATTTCAGATAGGGAATGATAGATAACAAGCCTGGAAAATAAACTTGGAGCCAGAGACTCCTTTTATGTTCTACTAAAGAAATTGCATAGGCAATTCAGACTATCATGTAGTTTTTAAAAGCAAGGTCATTACACAATCAAGTTTAGATAGACATGGTGATGGTCAAAAAACAAATCAGAAAGTCATGGTAACAAGCTAGGCAGGAATTGGAGAGGACCTGAGAGCAGAAGCTGGGTGGAGAGGACAGATGGGTATCAAACAAGGTGTTAAGAACAGAGATAAATCAAGGATAACTGATATTTCTTATGGAACAGTAAGAGAAATGGCATCATTAGCTACATAAAAATGCAAAGGAGAAATAACTGTTTTAATCATTTTTCCCAGAATGAGAGAAAGGCCTAAAGTTTTAACTTATAAAAATAATTTTTTACTAGTCATGGTGGCACATGCCTTTAATACCAGCACTCCGGAGGCAAAGGCAGGCCAATCTCTGAGGGTTCAAGACCAGCCTGATCTACAGAGCAAGTTCCAGGACAGCTAGAGCGGTTACACAGAGAAACCCCTTCTCAAACAATAACAAATAATAAAAAAGAATAAAAAATAATTTTTCAGGATTTCTTCTTGTGTTTTTTGTTTTGCTCTGCTGTGGTAGGGTCTTAGAAAAAAGTCCAACTAAGTGCTGGGATGACAAATGTGGGATACCATGTCCACATTATTTTGTTTTTAAAGGTTCTGTTTTTGTTTTGTTGTGTTGTGTTTTGTGGGAATACCCAGTTAAGCTCCAGAAAAGGTCTATGAAATGCAAGAGCACTCTTCTAAAAGCATGTGACTGGCCATTGACAATGTAAGAGTTGGCTCTGGTGATAAATTTCTAGACGTTATTTCACAGCCAGAACAGCAAAGATAGAATCTAAATTTGTCTCTAAACTAAAGTCAGCCTGGAAGGGATAGAAAAATAGAAGAAGAAAAAGAGATAGTAACACATCTGAAATTAGAATTTCAATAGTTTTATGTATTCACAAGTCAGGAAATATGTTAAAGAATGGGTTCTTCAACGACAACACCACAGATCCATGAAATACAGCAAAAATCAGGTAGAAAATCCCAATACCATGACAGCTACATGGGAATTTAGACAGTAAAGACCAGGCCACAAATTCCAAAGACCTTCACTAAAGAAATGGGCAGCTCAACCAGACAGAGAGAGCAGCAGTAGCCCTATTAATAAACTTCAAGCACAAATACCCACTTCTCTCCAGATCACAGGGGCTGTGGGGCAGACTCACAAACAATACCTAGTTTCCCAAAGGAAAATACACAACAAAGTAAATTCATAAGGCAGAGGAAAAGCAGAATCTTACTTGGAAGACCAATTAAATAACCAACTATCCTGGCTTTCAAATATTTCATCCTTTTGTGAACCACGGGTCTCAGTTTTGTTTAAATGATGAAAAACTAGAGTAGGTAGCCCAGACTAGCCTCGAACTCAAGGTCCTCCTATTTTAGTCTCCCAAATGTTGAAACTTAAAACCATATATCATGCAAAGTGGCAAAAAGTTTGAAACTAGCAGATGCCTCAACTTACCAATACGTGGTAAAAATTACTAACTTCATTAGGCCTCAATGTCCTCGCCTCTATGGGCTGTTTATGGAATAGACATTGGCAGTGCCAAATGCTGAGAAATTGTTTTAAGCCTGACAGCAGCAACTTCCATTTTATCCCCCCCCCCAACAAACAAAAACATCATTTCGTCCATTGTCCAGTTCCTCGAAAGGAATCCAACAAAGCTTGCTCAGATCTCAATGAGCCCTCCAAAAGCCCCCAGACCTTCTTATGTCCCCTGAATCACCAGTTCAGGTGAGGGGGTGGAAGACTACCAAGGCAAACACAAACCTCAGGAGCAGAATACAATGACTCGCCCAAGGTCAAAAACATTACAGTGTAGACAAGTCAGGCTTGCCAGCAGCAGAGGCTACTTTTCGAGTGTTGTCCCTTCCGGAGCCTCAGGGAGCGGTGTAGGGGCACCGGTCTGCAGAGATCCCCGGGCCTCCCCGACCAGGCCCACACCTGACCATCGCGGGCGCGGCCAGCTCCTACATCCACCCTTAGCTCGGGCCCCACCCCCGAGGCCGAGACCCCTGCGCTGAGCCCCACAAGATAAAGTTTGCCCGGCTCGCCCCCCACGCCAAGTGCACTATCTCACGCACTATGGTGGCCCGGCCCAGGACCCAGCCGCCGACACCACTCGGCCGGTGCCGCTGGACATCCAGCCTTCTCTCGACCAGCAAGCCCCTCCTTCGGCCCAGACAGCGAGCAGAGACGACTGTAGACTTCCTCCGCGAGCTCCGCCCCCTGGCCGCCAAGAAGCACCCACCGCCGGAGACGACGGACGGACCCGTGAGCCAGTCGAAACTCGGAACTGGAGGGGCAAGCAGACAGACGGCTTCTAGAGCCAATCAGTACCCGGGGCGGGAGAGGGCGTAGCTCAAGGAACTGAGCCACGCCCCGTCGGTCCTTCCGCTGGCGCGGAGGAGGCGAAGGAAACTTTCCCAGAGTTCCTCCGAGCTCTCTGGGTTCCCGTGGGGGGTTGAGGCGGCAGCAGCGGGCGTGGAGGAGGCTGGGTTCGGCTGCGGATTGGGTGAGGAGAGGGCGGAGCACAAGAACACTGCCCCACCTCCGAGAGGCCCCAGAAACCCTACTGTTGGGAGCCTGGGCAGCTCGAGACCCCGACTGTGCAGCCCGGCAGACATCCCCACAGCACACGTGCGCTCGGCTGTGGAGAGCCAGCCATGCTCCGGTTCCCCTTCCTCTGCAGCTACCACCAGAGCAGCCCGAGACCCCCCATTGTGGCATCCCCATAGGCTGTACGCTGCGAGATCAAGCTTAAAGCCCCTCTGTTCCAACTCAGGGCTTCGCGGTGCAGCGGCGCACTACATTGCGTTAGGTACTTCGTACCCAGATCACTTGGGTACAAGGGACAGCTCCAGGGTGTCAGGTGCATAACCTTAACCCAAGCTGTACTGGCTCCGAGAACCCAAGGTTCCACCCTGACGACGAGTGAGGTTAACGGAATGACCTATAAGCGTGCTTGTTGTTGGACCGGTCACCAGAGGAGACACCATTCCACTTGAGGAATTGCGACTTCCAAGCCAGTGCTGCAGGCATAAAAAAGACGCTGGCAGACAGAATCCCACTGAGAGGCGGAGCGTCCAGGAGAGCGGTCACGTGGAGGAAGCGGAAGCCCTAACCATCTCTCTTGTTCTCCCAAACACAAACACAGTGTGTTGTGTGTGTTTGGGAGAACTGAAGCTCTGTCTTCCTCCAACTTTTGTCACGTTTGGTCCAAGGCGATGGCTCCGCCTGGGGATCCGCGACGCCTCTGCAGGCTGGTGCAGGAGGGCCGGCTGCGCGCCCTGCAGGAGGAACTGGAGGTGGCCGGAGGCTGCCAGGGGCCAGCCGGGGACACCCTTCTCCACTGCGCAGCCCGCCACGGGCGCCAGGACATCTTGGCTTATTTAGTGGAGGCTTGGAGTATGGACATCGAGGCAGCCAACCGAGACTACAAGCGACCTCTGCATGAAGCTGCCTCTATGGGCCACCGGGACTGCGTTCGCTACCTTCTGGAGCGAGGTGCAGTCGTGGACTCCTTGAAGAAGGCTGACTGGTAGGTGCCCAGGGTTCAGAAAAGCTGCATCGCCACTCTCCGAGGAATCGCAAAATTTCGTGCATTTTTCAGTGTGTCCGTTAGACTTATAGCTTTTCTAAGCTTCTAATTCTCACCCCAACCGTCCTTTCTTCGTTGGTTTGGCTCTTTAGTTAGGACAGTTGCTTGCCATTGAGAGAGTATAGAAATGTAATCACATGGTTATTAGGTGAATTGTCCTGATCATGTGCCCAAGATCTGTAGGCGTCTTGCTAAATTACTTGTTCATGATGGCATTATACCTGGCTGCAGTGGATAGGTTTCAGCTGCACATGTGTTGAATAGTGAGCACTTTAGATGTGACCACATCTATCATTGAACAGCCGCCAGCAAGAAAGTTGACGATGCTCTTCCACCACACAAATCAATTTCATTTGTTGCTAAATTGACATCATTTTTGTATTGTGTCTAGTTCCTGAGAACCTGTTAACTATTTTAGGCTCCTAACTTAATGAAGTTCCTGCCTTCCAAGTTACTTCAAATCTGTCAAAACACAGGGAAATATATCAGCGGTGGTGCAGCCTCCTAGCGTGCATCAGCACAGCAAGGACAGGAAAGCACCATATAATTTAAAGTACATCTCCCTCACTATTGTAAAGCAGTTTCACTATCTTGAAGGTTATTTGTGGTTTTTAATCAGTCCTCTGCTTGTCACATAAACAGTTCTCTTGCCTCTCAGATAATCTTCTCCAGTGGATGCACATTCAGAATCAGTTTCTCCTGTTATCTCTCCACAGTCCTCAGAGAAGTCAAAGGCTGACAGTCTGAGCTGTTTTCCTGCCTGCCCCACCCCTCACCCCAGACCTAGGTCTTTTTGTCTGTACAAAGACATACATTCTTCCAAATGCCTCAGCTCCTTCCATCCTGGTTGACCTTAGGACTCCTCTGATGATGGCTTGTACAAGGAAGAACCTTGAAGTGATCCAGGACCTTGTGGAACATGGTGCCAATCCACTCCTGAAGAACAAGGATGGCTGGAACAGTTTCCACATTGCCAGTCGGGAAGGCGACCCTGTGATCCTCCGGTACTTGCTCACTGTCTACCCCGATGCTTGGAAAACAGAGAGCAAAATTAGAAGAACTCCTTTGCATACTGCAGGTATACCCTGCAGTCGATGCTGTCAGCAGTTGGCTTCACCCCAGCACTACCTACACTTCCTAGTTCAAGTCATCTGTAAAGGGAATGGAGAATGTGGGAAAACAGAAGGCACAGCATCAGAGCATCTTGGGATGTCTTGGCAGACTATAAGTTTGTAAAGTGATGGAACCCTTGACTCTCATGTCACTGTGTTAGGCCACCTTTCATATGTATCTGTCCTACCCTTCCTAGTCAGTGAGATGGTAAGCTGGCTCTGTCCATTCCAAAGCCTGATGACCCTGGGTAAAGAACTTGGTCTGTGTTTGAGCAAATGTCCTTCTTAGCTTTTCACAGTGGTGATGATACTATACTGTAGTGTTCTGGCAAAAAAAGCAAAATTAGTGTGGAATGTGCACATAATGGGCTCAAAAGTCCAAAACAAGAAAGTTGGAAAATAAGCCAGGCAGCATGGTGAGTACCTCTAGTTCCATCACTTTTAGAGGTTGAGGCAGCAGGATCCATGCAAGTTTAAGGCTGGCTGGGCAATGATGGGAGACCCTGTCTCCAATCCCCCAGTACTTCTCCCACCCAAGAGAGAACTTTAGAAAATAATTCTTAGTCTAAGAGGCAGTTCATTGAATTAGGATACTGAGCTCATGCTATCTCCAAAAATCAATGCCTGAGATATGATGTTACAAGCATTTCCCCACCAGCCTGGTCCCAGAGCCACGAACTTGGGAAGTGGGTACAGCCTCTCTTTCCTCTGCTGTTTCTTGGTCTTCAGCTTCTCCTCATGCTTGGTGAGCCAGTGGCACATGGCTCCAGTCTTCTTAGGTCGCAGATCCAGAGGCTTGTACTTCTTACCCTTGTTGAATTTCCTGAGGTTTTATTTTTTGAGTCTGGTTAGTTACGGTGAGGATCTGATCTCTTCTGAGCACTTCACAGCATCTCTGTTCTTGGAACGTTAAACCCAGCTGCAGCTACTTTGTTCTTGGAATTTTGGGTGTCTGATCTTTCGACTTTTTCTACTTCCCTTCATCCCTTTTCCCTCCCTCCCAAGAACTCCTAAAGACTATAGGATTATCATGGAGTCCGGAGAAATTTTAAGTAGCTCTTGGCAAAGAGTGAGTGAATCAGAATTCCTTCCAGGTTCCTCATCCAAGTCCTCAGCAGTTCCTAGCTTTTCAGGAGAGCCTTTGAAAGGCATCTCCATGGATGGAGAATGCATGGAGCCACAGGAGGAGGATGAGTTGGTCTCAGAATTTGATGTAGATTGCAACTCTAATCCAGACAGTGAGAAATGGGGTAGTGGGGGGGGGGGCTGCTGGAGAGATGGCTCAGAGGTTAAGAACACTGGCTGCTCTTCCAGAGGTCCTGAGTTCAATTCCCAACAACCACATGGTGGCTCACAGCTATCTATAATAAGAATATGATATAGTCCATACTGTCTGGGAACAAGCACCCAGTTGTTCTCCAGCCACAGCTGGCACTTATGGACCAAGGAATCCTTTCTGGAACGTTTTGAGTAAGTAGGAAAAAAAATCTACCTAGTTCATAAAATACTTAAGTAGCCCTCTTCATATGCACTCCCGAAAATATTTCCTTGGAGAACCAGTCACCAATCTGTCACTTGCCCAAAATAAATGGAGGCCAGATAGGATCTTTTCTGTTGAGAGTGGATATCCTCAGAAGGAGGAGTAAATTTTAGATAATTTTCATGGCTTACTATTAAATAGGTTACCTTCAAAACATTTTTGTACTTTTCTGCCTTTGATACTTACAGCACTAAAATGGGGAGATAAGTTTAAAACTTGGAAGTTTGCCATGAAAATGCTCAGATAGATGAAATAATCAAATGTATAAAGTGAAAACATTCTTTACCATTTATTTGGTTGGAATTTTGTTTTTCATGAGACAGTAATATTACCTATTTTAGGTTTTTCTTCTTGAAGAAAACCAGGGCAGATGTGACTGAAAAAAAAAATGGCTCTAAAGCAAAAATTTTTTAGAGCCAGGAGAAAGAATTTTGCTTGTTTTTAATTATTTATTCATTGTACCAGGATAAAGGCCAGGGTTTTGCACACCATGAGCCAGTGTTTGGCCAATGAGTTACCTTCTCAGCTGTCTTAGGGTTTCTATTGTTGTGAAAAGACACCATGATCACAGCAACTCTTTTTTTTTTTTCCCCTTCTTTTTGGTTTTTCAAAACAGGGTTTCTCTGTGTAGCTTTGGAGCCTGTCCAGGAATTTGCTCTGAAGACCAGGCTGACCTCGAACTCACAAAGATCAATCTACCTCTGCCTCCTGATGGCAAGCGCCATCACAGCCTGGCTCATGGCAACTCATATGAAGGAAATACATTTAAATTGAGGTGACGGCTTACAGTTTCAGAGGTTAGTCCATTATCATTGTGGTAAGACATGGCAGGATGAAGGCAGATATGGTGCTGGCTACATCTCCATAAGAAAGCAACAGGAAGTGGTCTGTGACACTGGAAGTGTCTTGAGCATAGAAGAACTCAAAGCCCACCCCCACAGTCACACACTTCCAACAATAAGGCCACACCTCCTAATAGTGCCACTCCCTTTGAGGGACACTTTTTTGGGGGGAGGATCTCAAGACAAGGTTTCTCTGTAGCTTTGGATCCTGTCTGGGAACTGGCTCTGTAGACCAGGCTGGTCTCGAACTCACAAGGTCCACCTGCCTCTGCCTCCCAAGTGCTGGGATTAAAGGTGTGTACCACCACCACCCCGGTGTTTTCTTTCAAACTATCACAGCAGCCAAGAAAGTTTCAAGTCTACACTAAAAAGTTGTAATTGTCTCCATTCTTTCTCCTCTAGCAATGCATGGCTGTTTCGAAGCAGTACAGGAACTCCTTGATAGGTAAGAACAACGTGGTAAATGGTGGAAAGTATTTCTTAGTTGTAACAAGGAGTTCGTTTTCCTTTTATGTAGAGACCTCAGTGTCCACAAACTGAACAGGGCCACATACCAATCAGCATGGCAAGGAATTCAGGATCCCCAAAGGTGTGTGTAAGAGGAAGACCCAGTGTAAATTAGTGAAGATCGAAGCAATAAACACCTCAGCACGAGCACAGCCAAAGCTGTTCACCTAAGAAGAAAATAACAGCTGTGAGTAGGGGGCAAGAGAGCTTTTTGCACCAAGAAAAAGGATAGCACATTTGAGTGACTGGAAGCAGTTTTAAATATGCTGAAGTCTGGTAAAGAATATGGTTACTGTAGACCATTGTATTCATTACATGTTTTTGAATGTTTTGCTTGCACACATGGCTGTACACCATATACATTCCTGGTGCCTGTGGCTTCCAAAAGAGGGTGGTGGAGAGAATCAAACCTAGGTCCTCTGGAAGAGCAACAAATATTTATCACTGCTGAACTACCTCTCCAGGCCCCTTGTTGAAGGGTTTTTAAGCCTAGGGTCATAAGAAATTAGCAGTTTTCAAGCATCACCCAGTTACAAAATAAAAGTGAACCTGGGATGAGAACAGGTTTCTGTGAAGTTGTCTCAGCTTGATGAAGTGAAACAGGAGAGAAATGGTGGTATCTGAGCTGAAGAGATGAGTATAGAAAGTGTGGTTGTTTGAATAAGAATATGTTTGAATAGTCAGTCACTATTATAAGTCAAAATCAGTAGGAGTGGGCAGATAATTTGATGAAAAAGATCTGAGAGGACCCGAGGGGTGGGTGTGTGTGTGTGTGTGTGTAGGGGGTGACTCAATGGTAAAATGTTTGCTTAGCATACTCAAGGCCTTGGTCAAGTTTCATCCCCCAGCACCATAGAAAATAAAGGAGGAGCAAAGGATGACTTGCACAGTGTGGCACTTGGGCCACTTGCTGAGGTACTAAACACTAGAAGAGGAGCAGGGCTGAGGGAAGCATAAGATTTTCACTTTGGAACAAGTAGAGTAGTTATATCTATGTGAGAGATCAAAGCAGAGATCAAGTAGGCAGAGACAAAATTGAAGAAAAGCAAATGTGTCCCACCTGTGGTTCTTAATGCTTAACCCATGTTCTTAGGACCCAGGGTTAAATGCTTTTTGCTTTTACCCATTATCTTTTCTACTTCTAACCTCACATCACCATTCATAAGCTGCAAAGCCTCATATTTGTATCCAGGCAAGCCGTCTTGCACAGCAAGAGGACTGGTTGCTCTGCTCTGGAGAATAGGGACGGAAAGGGGAGGTGAGGGTGGTGATAAGAGGAACAGTAGGCTGTTGTCAATTGACCTGTGCATAAGGGTGAAACAGAGATGGAGAAGAGGATAGAGATGTTTTAAGGAGCCTGGCTGCAGAACTATATCTCACTAATTGTTTGGGAGAGAAAGGAGAAATATGGTAAGGGTGACTACAAAGCTGAGAAGCTGAAGAAATGAAGGCTTCTGCTGACCTGATAGGGAAGCTTAAGTGAGGAAGTCCCAAAGATGTGGAACGCGGTTCAGATGCTAAAGTGGTAAGAGGACAGACAGCTCCAGATGGTCACAGATCCTCTGTAAGACATGCAGCCTGCCTACAGACCATCATGTTACCTGTCTTGGGTTTGAAAAGGTGAATAGTCACAGTTCTGTCATTTTTGTATTTGACTCTAGGTGTCACTATGAACCAGACTGTAGAGATAACTGTGGTGTCACACCCTTCATGGATGCAATTCAATGTGGCCATGTTAACATAGCCAAGCTGCTTCTTGAAAAACACAAGGTATGAAGTGGTTTTGCTTATTCCTTTAGTTCTTCCTTAGGAATTTTTGATCTGAGGATAAACAGTACATCATTATTCAGTTGCTGACTTCAAATTCTGCCTCCTCCAAGTTTGTCCACCTTTGACCTCTGTAAACATACATGCATAAGTGTCCTCATCTCTAAAATTGTGACAAAATGTGATTTCTTCAGAAGCTCCCTACAAGGATTTAATGATGCTAGGGTTAGAACTCAAAGTAAAGTACTTGTGTAGCATGCTCAGAACCTTGGACTTGATCCAGGGAGGATCCAATAATCAAACATACATAGGACAGTTAGGAAATTAAGGAGTCTGTAAATATTGTCACTTTGATAGTAATAGCAAGAAATTGCGCTGACACAGCTGGAGGCACTATAGCCCCAGCATTGACTCAGCCACATTTTAGTTCAAGTGCTTTGAGAATCAGAAAGAAATTCTGCTCTGCCCAGAAGAACTGCACAGACATTAAGCTACACCAAAACATCTGCAGGACCACAGACCCAGACTCTTCTGCCCTTCACAGTGCTCCTTCCTCTTTCCTGCCTACTAGGCTTGCTCTTCAGCTGAAGATAGCCTGGGGACCCAGGCTTTACACCGGGCAGCAATCACTGGGCAAGATGAAGCCATACGATTCCTGGTATCCGGTCTCGGCATTGATATAGATGTGAGAGCAAAGACAACCCAGCTCACAGCACTTCATTGTGCAGCCAAGGTCAGGTGCTTCTCATGATAGTCTTTCTTCCTCAGGCTTTCTTTGTTCCAATGATAGACAGCTCTGTAATCTTGGCTTTTTTTTTTTTTCCCTCCAAACAGGGTTTCTCTGTATTGCTTTAGAGCCTGTCCTAGAACTAGCTTTTGTAAATCAGGCTGGCCTCGAATTCACAGGGATTCCCCCCTGTCTCTGCCTCTGCCTCTGCCTCTGCCTCTGCCTCCCGAGTGTTGGGATTAAAGACGTGTGCCACCAACGCCCACCCAGCCTGTATTGGCTTCTTTATTCAATATTCTATATTCCTGAGATGTTTGTGATTCTGAATCTCTCAGTCTCTTTAAATACAAACATGACATTTTTGTTTGTAGGCAAAAATGGAGAGAGGAGAATTCTTAATCCTACATAATACTTAGGCATTATGTGCCCCTCCCCATTCTTATTTTCAGGAAAGTGAAGATGTTGAAATGTAATGGAGGCCTTTTCAGTTGTCTCTTAAGTGTTTGAAAGCAAATTGTGGAACTCAACTTTAGTAACGTTAGTTTTTTTCTATTAAAAATAAATAAATAGGGCCTGGAGAGGTAGCTTAATGGTATGTGTGCTTGCTGCTCTTACAGAGTTCCCAGCACCCACATAAGACAGCTCACAACTGTCTGTTACTGCAACTCCAGGGGATCTGCCTGACATCCTCTTCTGGCTTCAACAGGCACCTGCATACATGTATTCATACATACACACACACACAATAAATAAATTTCTAAAGATTAACAAATAAGCAAAGATTCATTATATGAAATTTGAAGCTCTTCTATTGAATAGAGAATTTAAAATCTCTTTAGCTAGCACAAAGAAATTCCATCTACTGGTCTCTCTAATGTATAAAGCATTAAGGATGTGCATAAATATTTCACCAAAGAAAAGGCTATTTTAGGAGCTTTGCTTACTATAAATTGTTTAGAAGCCATGTACCTTTATTTGGCTTTCTAGAAGCAAGAGTTCATGTTTTCTGACTAACAATCCCCACCACACTTTCCCTGAATACAAGGGATAGGTACACAAATGGAATGAGGGCCTAGGCCACAAACATTTCCTCCATAGAAAGGCTAAACCTGAAATCTTGAGTTTAGCCTTACCACTTTGTAATGAGCTGACTGGCTACCCTGTGAATGATGCTAGCAATAGTGGGGGTCTCTTCTGAGAGCCTCAATCTCACAGTTCCCCTCTGCCTTAAAGATTTTAACAAAGAGTTCATACGCTTGGGAAATTTTAGGATGTGGGTTCTATATAAACTACAAAGCTTTGTACTGCTGACCTTGATGGAAACCTAACCATATTAGCCATCCTGATAACTGAATGTTATAAATACCTAACGATCCGTGTGAAAACCATGGGTGATATAGATCTTTCTTAAAACAGGAGGTTCAGCATTTGCAGTTAGCTGCATCAGGAAGAGGTTCTGATGTACACTGGAAATTATTTTTAAAGGTTTGCTTTTGTCCTCATCACAGCGGTAATGAATCTATTTCCACACTCAGGAAGGGCAGACGAGCACAGTTCAAACTCTGTTATCTCTGGGTGCAGACATCAATTCTAAAGATGAAAGAAACCGCTCAGGTATGGAATGCAAATGACTCATGTACTTGTAGTTGAAAACATTGATGTGGGTTGAGCACCTCAGTGGTGAGCCCATATGGCCCTGCATTCAACCCCTGGCCCTGAAAAGCAGTCTCTTCCCTAAAGTAGCTTTTCTTTTGAAAAAGCTATTGGAGCTATTGATACGGACATCATGATTTTTTTTGTCTAGCTTTTTTTGTTGTTGTTGAAAATTTTACATGTATATTTTATGTGTGTTGGTGTTTTTCCCTTATGTATGTAAGTGCACCATGTGCATGCCTGGTATCAGTGCAGGCCAGAAGAGGTTGTTGGAGCCCCTTGAGCTGGGAATCGAACCTAGACCTGGGTCCTCTAAAATTGCTGCCAGTGCTCTTTACTGCCAAGTTCTCCCTCCAGCCCCTTACGTAGACCTGGCTGACCTAAAACTCACAGAGATTCACTTTCCTCTGCTTGCAGAATGCTGGAATTAAAGGTGTGTGCCATGACAAGTGGTTATGATTATACAACATGATTATGATAATGAATACTAACCACCATCCTGGTTACTATCGTTGGTTGGTTTGTGTGGGGTTTTCTCCCCCGCCAAATTTACTTCTCTCTCTGTGTGTGTGTGTGTGTGTGTGTCTGTGTCTGTAAATGTATGCCACTTATGTGCAGGTACCCCAGAGGACAAAAGAACTGGAATTACAGGTGGTTGTAAACTGCTTGGTGTGGGTGCTAGGAATTGAACTCTGGTCCTCTGGAAGAGCAGCAAGTGTTCTTAACTGCTCAGGCATCTCTCTATCCCCTATTATTATTATTATTGATGTTATTATTTTAAGCTATAACAAAATCTGTGAGGTGAAAGCATTTTCTATTTATAAGAGCTATTATATAGATTTTTGGTTCAGAGGTATAGTCTCAGAGTGCTTCTTTCTTTGTGTATTGGGGACCAAGCCCAAGGCCCAGGTAGACATGATCTGCCATTGAGCATCCCCAGTGCTGTCTAGAGCTGATGCTTTAGACTTGACTTTAAAATAGGTCATTCAGTCAGTACTCTTCAAGCCAGAGGTCATTTCATAGGATTCAGTGGGATCTTCAGACTTGAAAGACTCACAAATGACTCATTCTCACAAGTCACAAGGAATAGCTACTGCTAGTCTAAGCAGGGATTCAGACTTACTCCTTTTTTTTTTTTTTACATATTAATTTATTTTATTATTTTTATTTTACATATTGATCCCAGTCCCCCCTCTCTCCCTCATTCCCTCTTTCCCACCCTCACATGGACCCCGACCACCCTCCCCTTCCATCCTCCCCTACCCCACATGTAGGGTGATACCCTCCAGGAGGGGTAATCTAAATCTGTCAAGTCATTTGGAGTAGGGGCTAGGACTTCTCTCCTGTCTCTAGGTTAAGGCAGTATCTCTCAATGAGAGATGTTCCCACAAGGTCCTTTTGTGCACCAGGAATACATCCTGGTTCCACTGTATGAGGTCCCTTGGACTGCTCAGGCCTTCTAGCTGAGGCCCATGTTCAGGGAGTCAGACAGTCCCATGCGGGATTCCCAGCTATTAGTCTGAGGGCCCATTAGCCCCTCTTTGTTCAGGTCAGCTGTCTCTATGTGTTTCTGCAGCCTGGTCTTGTCCTGCCTCTCTGCATCTGGATTCCAGTTCAGCTCAGTGTTTAGTTGTGGGTGTTTGCTTCTGTTTCCATTTGCTACTAGTTGAGGGATCCATGATGGTGGATAAGTTAGTTGCTGATCTCATTATCAGAGAAGGACATTGTGGTAGCCTTTCCACGGTTGCTCAAATCGTTAGTTGGGGGTCAGTCTTGTAGGTCTCTGGACATTTCTTTAGGTTCAGTTTTCTCTTCAAACCTATAATGGCTCCCAGTTTTATGCATTCTCTCTCTCTCTCTCTCTCTCTCTCTCTCTCTCTCTCTCTCTCTCTTCTCTCTCTCTCTCTCTCTCTTCTCTTTTCTCTTCTATTCCTACCCTGACTCAATCTTCCTAGTCGCACGTGTTTTCCTCTCCCCCCTTTCTCTTTCTCCTACTTCTCTCTCAATTCGCTGCCCCCCCATGTGCTCTGGAGAACTTGTCCCTTCCCCCTTCTGGAGGGACCTTATATGAATCTCTTAGAAACCTCCTTTTATCCTAGTTCCTCTGGTGGTGTGAATTATACGATGGTGATCCTTTGTGCTGTGTCTAAAATTTATATATGAGCGAGTACATACCATGTTCCTCTTTTTGTGATGGGTTACCTCATTCAGGATGGTTTCTTCAAGTGCCATCCACTTGCCTGAGAATTTAAAGATTCCATTCCCTTTTTTTGTGCAGAGTAGTATTGCATTGTGTAGATGTGCCACATCTTCTTTATCCATTCTTCAGTTGAAGGGCATCTAGGTTGCTTCCAGGATCTTGCTATTACAAATAATGCTGCTATGAACATAGTTGAGCACATATCTTTGTTGCATGGATGTGGATCATTTAGGTATATGCCTAAGAGTGGAATTGCCAGGTCCTCTGGTAAACTGATTTCCATTTTCCTGAGGAACCACCATACTGATCTCCAAAATGGCTGTACGAGTTTCCACTCCCACCAGCAGTGGAGGAGTGTTCCCCTTTCTCCACATCCTCTCCAGCATAAGTTGTCACTGGTGTTTCTAACTTTAGCCATGCTGGCAGGAGTAAGATGGTATCCAGCAGAGGCCAGGCAATGGGTGTCAAAGACCCTGCAGGCTGGGACTCTGGAAGTTCCTGATAGGCGGATCTAGCCAGGGGCCTGGCACTCTCCAGCTGAGGCCTCTTTAGCAGAGGTCCAGCGATGGGGGTCAAGGACCCAGCCTGCAGGGACTCAGGATCCAGACTTACTCCTTAAGGCCAGGTAGCAGGACACACTTGGACTTACAGCACACCTGGACCTTTGGTGCTAATTTCTACACACAGAATAGAAAGATTCGTCAACAGATTTTTATCACTACGTCCTAATTCATGGTACTTCAAGCAAAACATTAAGGAATTTTTTATACCATTAAAACCATGTTTAAATAGCACATGAGAGTGAGCCTAGGGAGAATCAGTCTCCTCCTGCTCCCCGTTAAGTAGCAAAGCTTCTTGCATCCTTTCTGATTTGTGTTTTTTTTCCTCTCCCCCCCTTCCCTTTTTTGGGAACTTGATACATAAAATAGGTTAGCCTTGAACTCACAAAGATCTGCCTCCCATTTGCTAGAATTAAAGGTGTGTGCTACCACACCCAGCAGGTTTGTTTTCTTTAGAAATATTTTCAACCCAGTCAGTTTTAAATTGTGATCCAATATAGGCCATCATGGGTAGATTATGAAATTGTAAAATCTGTATAAGATGTAGCTGGCAAGATGGCTCTGTAGGTGAGAGTACTTATAGGCAAGCCTGGTAATCTGTGTTTTATCCCCCAGGCCCGCATAGTCAAAGAGAGCCAACTCCTGCACCTTGTCCTCTGACCCCCCTCTACACAGGCACTGTGACAAATGCACACACACACACACACACACACACTCACACTCACACCCTGACTAAGTAAACATAAGCTCTGTATATCTGAATAACCCAGTGTCGTTTCTGAATGCAGTACATGTTCTCAGCATTGACCAATTTTGTCTCCCTTTAGCCCTGCATCTGGCCTGTGCAGGTCAGCATGTGGCTTGCACCAAGTTCCTCCTGAAGTCAGGACTGAAGGATTCTGAAGACCTAACAGGCACCCTGGCCCAGCAACTCATAAAGTGCACAGATATCCTTCCGGACTTTGACCATACTGTGAAATTGTAAAGATATTTGAAGAAGGAGGCAATGAAGTACGTGGTAATTCACCTCATGTTTTTTCAGTCTCTGAAGAGATGAGTGAGTTATTTCTCAGCCAGTATTTTCATCTCCTTCTGCCTTCCCTTCTTCATAGTCCTCTGATGGAAGATTTGCCAAATGACTCGATTCCTGGCATGTTGTATGATCCTGAACACAGCCATTTTTTTTTTTCCTTCTTTTAAAAGTGTACTGGGAATTGAACTCAGAGCCTTTACACATGCTAAGCAAGTACTGTGTCACTGAGCTACATTGCCAGCCCCTTATTTTTTTTTTTTTATAGCCTTCAAGTAGAATGATATTAAATATGAGTCTTGGGTATCCCTAGGGAAGAATATAATGTGAATAAATGTAATATATACCCTTCTTTAAGTATGCAAAAATGTAATAAAACTAGAAATACAAATTGTTGTGTACTCAAGCTATAAAATATAATTGCCCTATTTAGCTTTTTCCTTCATAGCTTTTATATGGCCATTTGGTTTCATAGCCAGGGAGGGCATGCATTTTTACCTGCTTATAACAACACTTACAGAGAATTGATGGACACCTTTTTATATTCTCATTACTGCTAGTTGAGCCAAGGTTGTTTTTGTTTTTGTTTTGTTTTTTAATGCATATGGATATTTTGCCTACATGTATGTCTGTATGCCACATGCATGCCTGATACCTTCCTAGGCCAGAAGATGCTGTCAGATCCCCTGGGACTGGAGTTACAGATAGTTGTGAGCCTCCATGTGGATGCCAGGAATCAACTTCAAGTCCCCTAGGAGAACAGCCAATGCTTTTCATCACTGAGCTGAGCCTTCTCTCCAGCCCCAGCTGTAAGATTTTAAACTTTAAGGGTTTTTTTGTTTGTTTTAATAGACAAGTTCAGTCATGAGCAAGATTTAACCCTCATTAATGTAGTGTTATCCAGCAGGTATCACATCTACCTCACTCATTCTAATATTGTGCTTGTCTTGGCAAATAGCAAAGACTTCCAGCGCCTCCTAATTATTTTTCTGTGGAGTCCACAAATTCCTCTTTCTAACCACCAAGTACATGTTGCTGTAGAAACACAATCCTGTTTTGTAATCTCTCCATCATACACTGTACACATATGCTCATCTGAAATGAGATTACCACTCTGCCTTGTGTCAGAGATCTCTTTGTTTCAGTACCTTTGGGTCTGAAGATGATCCTGGTGTGTAATATTGCATGTGTGTATGAATACTGGGGCCAGAAGGTCAACCTTAGCACACACAAAGCATCCTATCTATTCTCATTCATATTCTCTCTCCCCTCTCCACCTCTTCCCTCCCCAACAAAAGCCTCTTGTGTGCCTGAAGCTAGCCTCCTCAGATTTGTAATGTTTTAAAGCTCTGAATGCTGAGATTTGAGATCTGAGCTATAATGCCTGGTATCTTTCTTGTTTGCTGATCTGAACAATGATTAATTCCCATGTATCACTTTGCTTCTGTCCTTCCTAGAACCAGATTACATAAACCTTGATTACTACAGGCCATTGCTAAAATGACTCCACAGCCAGAAATGACAGTGATTATCACAACATTAATTGTAGCAAAGAAAGTAATAATGATATGTGATAACAATACACTTTCTCTATAATACTATATTATAAATGACTAATAGCAGTGCAAATGATAATTATTCCCTCCTAATTATAGTAACTTTCTTTATTTCCTTTGGATTACCTTCAGGGGCTGCCCTACCTACAATTGTATTCCTGCCTTTAGCATTTGATACTTTGTGACGGTTAGTTTTAATTGTCAGCTTAGGTGTTAACACAACCTAGAGTCACTTTTAAAGGGGGTCTTAATGACTGACTGTTTTCATTGGGTTGGCAGTGGGGAAGGGCAGTCTGGAAGGGACTGTCTTAAAAATAAGATAATTGATGTGGGAAGACCCAGTCTACTGTGGGCAGCACTATTCCCTTCGGAGTGGGGGTCCTGAACTATGTGAGAGGGGAGAATTGAGCTGAGCATAAACAAGCAGACAAGTGCATTTCTCTGAACTTTTAAATCTGGATATGAGGTGATAGCTGTTTGAAGTTCTCACCTTGACTGCTGTGTGGTTATGGACTGACTGTAGCCTGGAATTTGTAAGCTGAAATAAACCTTTCTCCTATGAGTTGCTTTTTGTCAGGGTATTTAATCATAGCAACAAAATCAAACTAGAAAGAACCCCCTGCCTTGTTTTTTCTTCTTAGCATTTACCGGTAGCAAATGTATCATATGATTTGAATAACTTTTTTAATTGTGTCTGTCCTCCATTGATATTTAACCAGCTTGGGTCAGGACTGAGGCTCAGAGCAGTCTGGGTGTGGTAGGAGATGTCATTCTGTAAATATGTTTTCTCTTATGAATAAAGTACTGTTGGCAAATAGGAAGGCAAGATAGGAGGGACTAGGAAACAAAGAGGATTCTGGGATATGTAGTAGGGAGAGTCAAGATATAGGGACTTGAAAGAAGAGGTCTGGACCCTTTCTCCAGTAAGCCAAGACCATGTCGAAACACTTAAATTAATAAAAATGGGTTAATATTTAAGACAGAGCCAGCCAATAAGAAACACTAGTAACTGGCCAACAGCTTTATATCTAATACAGCGTCTCTATGTGTTGTTTGGGGATGTGGCTCTGGGACCAGGCTGGCGGGAAAAGTGCTGGTAACATGGGTGCAGAATAAGTTTATTATAGTGCATTAATAAATACACCATAGTAGTAATTTGTGTTTATTGGGTGCTTAATGTATGTTAATGATGTGATAAATACCTTGCCTGTGTTGGCTCATTTTGTTCTCTGGCTTTTATACTTTGTAGTTAGTTACTACTATCTACAAGTTATCTGTCTGTCCTCAAGTTATTACTTGAAGAGTCTACATTTGGCACCTCAACTCGGGCATCATCTTGCTGCTCCGGATTCCAGCCTCATTGCTGCTCCTCTGTGCAGACTACTCTCTGTGAAATTATCAGGGTCTTCCTAATTGCCAGATTAAATAATACTTTTTAGTTAAAGATGGGGGTCTCACTATATAACCCTGGCTGTCCTTGAACTCACTATATAGACTAGGTTGGTCTCAAACTCACAGATCCTCCTGCCTCTGCCTCCCGGGTGCTGGGATTAAATTTGTGGAGCCTCCACTGCCACCACTACCTGACTAAGTAATGTATTCTCTTCTGATATCTGGACTCTTGTACCTGAGATAACTCCAAGTTTGTTCCTTTTCTTTCCCCCACTCCCTTCCTTCCTCCCTCCATCCCTCCCTCCCTCCCTTCTTTTTTTTTTTTTTTTTTTTTTTTTTGTCTCCCTCCCCTCTCTCTTCAAAGATAGGATCTCAGTGTATATTCTGAGCTGGCCTTGAAGTCATAATCCTCCTGCCTTAGCCTTCTGAGTGTTGGGATTGAAGGCATGTGCCTTGCTCCTGAGGTTTCCTTTCCTGGGCCACTCTGTCTCCTTTGCCCAGTTCTCTTTTTGGCTCTGCCCCCTTGAATACTGGTGTACTCCGTTTCATGCCCAGCTCACTCCCCTGTATTCTGCACTTGCTACTGAAGTAATCCCATTTGCTTTTCTGGTTTTACCTACAATGGCAGCCACCCAGCTCTCTCCAACCTTATTTTCAACTACCTGCTGAACATATTTTGCATGGCCTTATTAAGGCTGTCTACAATCTGTTCCACACTTTCTTCTCCATACCCCACCAGTTGGAACCCGGGGGTCACCTGTTACTATCTCCCTCCTTCTCAGGAAGCCCTGCGGTGTTCTAGCTGTTGGATAACTGTCTGGGGCTCTCATACATACTCTCATCTCTGACCACCATTGCAGTAGCCTTGTAGTTACTACTCCTGCTTCTACCTTTGTTCTCAAATCTGCCTTTCATGGAGCTGCCAGAGAGCTCTCACTGATTCACATAAGGACATTGACTGCCAAAAGCAGCTGATGGCTTGTCCTCCCATAGATTAGAGACTTTGTTAATAGCTCCTTTCTTGTAGCACATGACTGTTACTATTGATTGTCATCTTTCGAGGATCTAGAATCACCTGAAGTATACCTCCAAGCCACCTGTGAGGGAATTTCTAGATTTGGTTAATTGAGGTAGAAGTCCCACAGTCAGCGTTCCTCAGGTTAAAGTCCTGGACTGAATTAAAAAGGAGAAAGTGAAAAATGGGCCTAGCAGCAGCAGTGATCTCTGCTTCCCAACTAAGGATGAAGGATGACTAATTAATCACCTCCAGTTCCTACTGCCATGCTTTTCCTGCCTTGGCAGTCTATACCTGTGAGCTGAAAGCTTAAATAAACCTTTCCTTCCTTGACTATTTCATCAGGTATTTTGTTGCCACAACAAGAAAAGGAACTGATACATGATGACACAAGGTCTCATTACAGAGCTGAGGCTATGCTGTGTAGCACAAACTGGCCTCAAATTTGAGATCTTCCTGCTTCACCCTCTTGAGTGCTGGGATTACAGGGTCAGAACCACTTTGCCTAGCTGACTGGGGCTTCTGACCCTTCCTATAAGACCTGCCTCCACATAGGCTGTCTGTTGTTCTGGAAAGCAAACTCTCTTCTTGTTAAGCACATCGTAATTAAGCTCAATCAGGACAGAGTTGCCAGGGATGGAAATGGACAAAAACTACAACTACTTGAAAACAGCTAGATCTAATATATTACTTCCCTTACAAGAGAAATTCTATGGCACACTAGTTACAAAACAAAATGAAAATAGACCTTGAGATGGGATGAGAGAGGCTTGCAAAGAGAGAGAAACCTAGAGCAAAAGGAAGAGAACAGAGGCTGCATTTTATTTACCTTGGACTGCTGCTGCTGTTTACCAGCAGGAGGCGGGACAGAAAATGTTTTTTCTTCCTCCAGACCTTAAGATTCAGACTTTAAAACAGAACATGCTAAAGGAGCCAACGTCACCAGTGATCCCACTGCTCAGTTATAACCACTCATCTGAAGTACTTATTTTGTTATTATTGTGTATTATGAAGTGTTCATGCAGGCACACATGAGTGGAGGTCAGAGAACACTCTGAGGAACCACAATTTCCCCTTCAGTGGTGGGATACAGGGATCTGACTCAGTTCATCAGGCTTGCATGGTGTGTAGTTTGCTTTCCTGTTGCTGTGAGAAACACCATGACCAAAGCAACTTGAAAAGGAAAGGATTTCTTTCAGCTTACACTTTATATCTTTCCCTCTTTGAGGGAAACCAAAGCCAGAGAGCTCAAGGCAGGAGCTTGACGCAGAAACCATGGCATCTCACCGTTTGCTCCCAGGTGTAAGTACATTCAACTACAGTCTGGGTCCACCTGCCTCAGGGTGGCATCTCCCTCAGTGGCCTGAACCCTCTCCAACATCAGTTAGCAATCGATAAAATGCTCCTACAGATATGCTCACAGGTCCATCTGATCTGACCAATTATTCAGTTGAGGTCCCTTTTCCCAGGTGACTCTAGGTTTGTATCAAGTTGACAGCTGAAGCTAACAGTCACAGGCCAAGAGCTTATACCCACTGAGGCATCTCACAGCTACAGTAGCCTGCTGTTACTCTTCTCTTTCTGTCAAAATGAGTGTGGCTGAGACAAGGCAGTATATGCAGTTTGCCCCTAACTTTATACTAAGACGTTTGTGTACTCTGTTTTTCAGTCTGTTGAGTTCTTCATCTTGGTATTGTCTGTCACTTAGCAGAATGCACTCAGGCAGTACCCTGGTAAGCCCAGGATGTCATGACTACTAATCTGCATGTAGGTGCAAAGGACCCCTTTAAAAGACAGACCCTGCCCACTTACATTCTCTTTCCCTCTCTCTTTCCTGCAGTTCCTATTAGGCAAACAGGACTTTTCCTGTCTCCCTCCTCTCTTCTGTCCCCTCTCCTTCTCTGTCTTTTTACTTCTGTTCTCTTTCCTAATCCCCTCCCTCCCTTTCTAATAAAACTTCTCACTTAAGCTCTGTCTGCCTGGCGTGTTTGTTTCTCCACCTTGGTTACCCTCACCTGCCATGGAATCTGACAAGGGTCTCCCTCACATTATCATAATTATTATATAAAAACTTGTGTTTGTTTTTGCTATATTGAGGGTCAAACTTAGGGCCACAGACATCCTAGACAACCACTCTATCA